CCATCCTATGTTTTAAATGTATTACTCACTCGCCAAATACCTAAATGTCATGTGCTGCATTTGCCGCCCTTGTTGGCAATAAGTACAATTATAGTAATTAAGTATTTTGTAATAAGTAAAATACAGTATACTTTGTTTTACATTTTTCTATTTTTTACTGATAAAAACCATTTTTTTCACATTCATTGCTACTTTCGTCAGGTAATAAAAAATATAGATGCTCTAAAACATCATAGAAAAATTATAAAAAACATGTTTGCCCTTTCCACAGAAAGGAGTTGCTTTTGGATTCTAAAAGGCATAATGTGAACTTCATTAAAGACTCGACCAATTCAGACACGTGCAGAAGTTTTTGTATACAAAGTTAAGAAATGATGGTCCCGTTTAAAATATTAAGTTTTATATATCAAAATGTGGTAATTTTTTTTTATTTTGGCTGTATTAAACTTTAATCAGAACTTTGAAAGTGTTATGAAGAGTAGATATGATATATTTCTAGGCATTATGTCGTTCATCATGATATCCACCATCAAAAGTGATAAATTATAAGGACGGCAATAACGATATTGGAATAACCAACTTTCTTCAAATGCATCCGACATGAGTCTTGGTATATTAATCATCGATGTTTGCGTAATATATTTAGCAACCAGTAATAACAGGCCAATCAAATACTATCTAAAAGCTCCAGTAATTCCTTTTATTTACATTTTAATTAAAAATAATTCTTACAGATACCTTAATGTCATGCAAATTCGATCATAGCTCTTGTGGTTTATCTAGCCAAGAAAATTGGTTCGTTCTCTGCTTCCAATCATTTGTATTACAGTCATCCTCAGTACTGAGTAATGTGTATCAGATCATTGTCCAAACGATTCAATTATTCATTCATATTTTGAGTTGTTTTTTATATAATGAAATTAAAAATCAATTTTGCCCCTATGGTGCCTTGATTTATATTATAAGGGGATCATGATTCATTTGAGAAGGCGGTCCATTAATCAACAAATTCCTGATTATATTGATGATGTTTAAACTGTATAAAATGTCTATGCGGGTTGGGAATCTTAATTGTCAATCATCATTTACACAACATAATTTTAATCTGTAGAAATACAAAAAATAGCCCAAAATAGCCGCAAATACTTAACAGCTTTGCAAAAACAAAAAACAAAAGACAAAAAAGAAAGAAAGAAAAGAAATCACCGACTTAAAATACTGTGGGTGAACCTCAGGGCATGTTTCGATTGCTTTAGATGTCAAATTACAAAAATGACGTATTGTGTTTGTTTTTTGTATCTTATTTTAACAAAATTTATGGATAGTGTTTCGAAATATCATTTACGCATACTAACAGAAGAATACACTGACTTTCGTCAACATAAATTACAACAGCTGATCATCATCTAAACATAAAGGAATGACAGATCTATTAAGCCCCCACATTAATAGGAGTAGATTTTTTTATAAGCCACTTGACATTTCACTTGATTTTAGCATATCTTTACTTTATGCAGACATTTTAATACCCTTTTATTAGAGACATTAAACAACTGTTTTAACACAAAAATTTTGTTCAATTTTAACACATTTGTTTTAAACTTTAGGCTTGTTTTCATGGCTATTAAGGCTATTCTTTATAGTGTAACTATTTTTGTCACGGGTCTGTTGAACACGTACAATTGATGCGGCCGAAGAAAGATAAATTCAATTCATTCAAAGAAGAAGTAATCCTCCGTTATATACCACAACTAACATGCCAATGTAGAACAGGGCATGCCAACCCGTTTGTCAAAGCAATGCAGCAATCATTGCAAGCAACCAAGACCAGCAACATTTTGTTATTCTATATTATATTTGACAATCTAGAAACAATTTGAAACAGACAAACATCACCGAAAAGTGAACGATGCGAAAAATGTGCAAAACAACGATAGGACACTTAGTTTCACCAATGTTATACTTGTGGGAGGGGAAAAAAAAAAACAAACCAAAAATTTTTTTTATTTGAAAAAAATACAAATGCAAAAAGTTTGCAAATTTGGAAAGGGTGTTGAGAAAAATTTCTAAACCCATGAAAAAATTTGGAAAAAATACATAAATGGGTTTTCAAATTTTTATTAAAAATAAAAAACCCCAAATTTGGGATATTTTTTCCAAATTAAACGATTTTACTAACCCAAAAAAAGTTACCGCAACAAATCATTGACCCTTTTTGCCAAAAAAAATTGGGCTCTAAAAGGGGGTTTTTTATTTTTTAAATTTCAGTATTTCCCCGATTTTTTAAAAAATACTTTCCCCTAAAATCTACAAAAGGGACCCAAAAAATTTTGAACCAAAAAAATTTTGTAAAATAATTTGTTTAAAATTTAAAAGGAATAATGATAATTTTGGGTTTTCGTATCAAGTAAGTAAAAACTCCGTACCCACTAAAGGTGATTTCCCTTTAATTCCCAACGAAACAACATATTTAGCTTTTTTTTTTTTTGCGAATTTTCATTTGAATGACATAGAGTTCCAATAGTTGGAAAATCATTTAGGCGAAAAGGGTCCCAAATTTAACTTCAGAATAGACCAAATGAAGTGGTATTGTCAAAACCTGTGTTTTTCTAGGCCTATAGTAGAAAAATTTTTTGAGGGAGGGGGGCTAAAATAACCCCGCCTGAACAAGTTTTCTAAGTTTTTGTCAAGATTTCTCAACATCTCTATGAAAGTTTTTTTTTTTTTGTTGCGGGTTTTTGGGCAAATTTGGGGGCTTTTGTTTGCCTGCTTAATTTTGTTTTTTTTCCCTTTTAAAGCAAAATTTTATCCGGGCTATAAAAATCATTGGGTTTTAAAAAAAACCCTCGGGGCTCTGCTGGTGTTTATTTAATTATAGAGGATTGAAAATAGTTTAGTTTTCGATGATTGTTGAGTGTGTTTCTTAATCATTTCAATAGTTGTTGTATGTGATAAAGGATTATAAAATTTTGGTCTTCGTCGTTTGTTAATTTCTTTCAATCTGACTAAAGTTCAGATCTATTTATTTCTTAGATGTAGAAATGCGAAGCGTTATTTAGACAAGTATTTAACAAGATTGCTCAACATCTCTATCAATGTTTTTGTATTTTAATTACGTTTTGTCAAATGCTAGCTTTTGTTTGCCGCTTAATTTTGTTTTTGATAATGCAATGTTCACTCGGTCTACATATCATTGGTTTAAAAAAGCGTCGTGCTCTGCTGGTGTATTTAATATAGAGATTGAAAATTGTTTCAGTTTCGATGATGTTGAGTGTGTTCTTAATCATTTCAAAGTTGTTGTATGTGATAAAGGATTATAAATTTTGGTCTTCGTCGTTTGCTATTCTTTCAATCTGACTAAAGTTCAGATCTATTTATTTCCTAGATGTAGAAATGACTAGCGTTTTAATCAGATTGCTATTCTTTAGTCTTCCTTTGCAAAAAAGAAAATCTTGACAAGTTCCTCTCACACCTTTTGCATGATATCTGTGTAACTGATAATCATTTTATATCTTTGCATTAATATAAAGTATTGATTTTGCATTAGACATTACAGTATGATCTTTTCTGCACTAGTTATTAGAATTTCTTTTGTCCGCTTTTCATCTATTTGAAGAGTAGGGGGACTTGTGTACAAAATACCCACACATAAAAAATAACCGAAATTGTTAACAACAACGTGAAAATCGTCCTAAAATATTAACATGGAAACCAATGGTTTTGAAAAGAGGCACTATTTGTTTTATTATGGCAAATGTAAATGAGTTAATTACCAGAAGAAAAGGAAAATGTCAATTTTAATTGTTCAGTTTTTGGTAATTGATGCTAATATATTCTATTTGTATATATATGAACATTACAGTAGGGCTAAAACATTCTTCTATTTGTACATTTGTATATATATATATATTATATATATATATATATATATATAATATATATATATATATATATATATACAGTCACATTCCTCCATTTACGGGGCATCGGTCTATTTGAGACCATACTTGTGGGGTTTATATTTAATGTGGGGCATACATAAGGCCTCGCAACTCTGGCCATGTTTAAAAAAAACGATGTATGGGGCGTAGGCTACCCTTCTAACATAGTGCCCGTAGGCCGGTTTTAGTAGTAAATGAATATATGTCCCACAAATGTATATATTTTTTAATGGGGTTTTTATGTTATTTGGTCAATATGTTTTCACCTATGGTAAAATTAAAATATATAGTTGATATATATAACTTAGTACCCCTTAGTTTTGTTGTTTGGAAATGTCATAATATTGCCTACATAGTGGCATATATAAAAACTGACTGCATGAAATAATGCCACTCAACTCGGTCTTATAAATAGGCCCCGTAAGTGAAGATATGTGTGAATATATATACATATATAAATATATATATATATATATATAATATATTATATATTATATATAATATATATAATATATATGTTAATGGAATTTATATAAACAATAATGAAAAATAATGCAAAGTTTGTAAAATCCGAAATAGATAATTCAAAAACATTCTAAGTCCCCAATTTTGTAGCCACTTTTTAGTCTTCGTCTTAAGTTGCCACGACATGTCAGTTCGTTCGCCCATCCTGAAGAGACAACCGCTTTCAAACGCTTTCAGATCATATAGCTCTTCAATTTCTTATGTTCGGTAGCCAAATCTGTTCATATTTAGTGTGTGCAAAAGGAATTACAATACAGTATCATCAAAAGTATTCTTTCAAAGTTTCACAGTAATCCACAAGAAAACATCCCCAAAACCTCCATTTTTGTAGCCACCACGGTTGGTCCTTACTAAAATACAAACACACGTCCATACGCCAAGGCATACATTTTATGAAAACAACATATATATTCTTAATATTTCATACACATATTGTTAGTAACTGTTTCATTTTGAATCTGATGTTTACATTTATATTATCCGATACAAATGTTTATTGTGAATAAAACAGCTTTAATATATGTTACATTGTAGGTGCGTTTCTTATACCCTACCTGGTTATGTTGGTATTCAGCGGATTTCCACTATTCTATATGGAACTGGCCCTCGGACAGTATCAGAGGTGCGGCTGTATCACCGTCTGGAAAAGAATATGTCCTGTACTTAAAGGTAAAACTTTATATATATACATAACTGTCACCGCACTGTTAGCTCAACAGGTAGATCGTTGGACTTTGAATCAGGCGACCCGGGTCCGATTCCCGGACGGTACGGGTCAATTTTGTGATCGATCATGAAATCCTTTCTACGGTTATTCGCACTGCAATTAAGTTCCTTGCGAACAACTGGTACAACTAGTGCAGGTAAATTGCTAACAGCCTGACCAGGAACGATGTAGTGGCTTAATGCCATGGTCCGTCCGTAGGGTACTAGAATACTACTAACATCATCAAATATATAGATGTAAATGTAGATAAATTAGTATCTAATTTACTTTTGTAGATATTTTGTTAAACAACAATTATATTAGACGTCAATAACCGATGTGTAACTTTCGTTTCAGATGGTCGTTGGCATTTACATTTAATTTTTACACAACCATAATTAATTCGGTTTCCATCATATTTGAAGTAAATCGAAAATCAGCTTTGTATAAGACGCCACAACAATTTTGTTATTTCTGTTGTAATGATTTTGACAAACATTGATTGTTTCAGATACTAACATTCCAAATCAAAGCGTCGATTTAATTGTCAATGTATCGATTGTTTTAGAAATTGTGAACTAATATATTTTACCGATCTATATTTTGACCATATATCAGATTAAACGATAGCCCGTGATAATATATAAAATTTGAATAATAACGATAGCCCGTGATAATATATAAAATTTGAATAATATATTTTGTTAAACATTCAAATTTCTTCTAAATTTTGTTTTGTTACATATAAGTTACAGAAATATTAAAACATTCATTGTTTTGTTTTTTCTTTTCAGGAATTGGATTTGGGATATGCATAATTGCTACATACGTTTCTTGGTACTATAACACTATCATCAGCTGGGCATTGTTTTATTTCTTCTCATCAATGAGAGCGGATGTCCCATGGAAAACGTGCAACAACACGTGGAATACAAACATGTGCATGGATAGTGAACAGAGGCGTGCATTTTTTGCTGCAAGGAAAAACGTTTCTGAAGAGCTTGTTAAAAAAGAAGTCATGAATTACACCACGCCAAATGAAGAATTCTTTGAGTAAGATATGCCTCATGTTCCAATTATGATATTGAAATAGCCTGTTCTGTATAAATACTTTTCGGAACTCGGCTAATGTTGAGTTTACACATTTTATCGCGTAGTACAAACAAATGTTTACAGTTATAGCTACTACTGCACTACTGTTCACAATAGAGAAGTAAACGCCTTGAATATTTTCTATATGATTACCAAGTTGTTACAGTTAAAGGTTTGTCTCTTCCCCGGGATTATATCGGGGAAAAACACATTCGCATCTTTATTGTCTGTCAGGGGTTCAATACTTTTTGGTACGTAATATGTACTCGTATAACATGATTGTCTGGGTACCGTTCACATGGTAATTATTCAAATACAGTAATAGATTTTACAATCAGTATCTTTAGAATGGGTTAAGTAATTGTATATCGATAACACAAAGGTTTGTGAGTACCAGTAAAGATATTATTCTAAGAAAATGCTGTTAGTCGAGGGTAACGGGATGATATTTTTGAGGTTACTCACAAACCTATGTGTTATACTTTTTTAACCACGAACTAATACTTCAATAGGATACTGTTTCTTTAGGCTTTTATTTTTCAAAGACTGAAAATTACTGTTATTCATGCAACAGTGGAAAAGTTTAGTCTCATGGTTCACTGGAATTAACAGTAATAATAACTCCCATTGACCTATAGGAAATTAACATAGCAAAGAGTAGTGAGGGGTAATAATATTATTTGTTGATTGACGAGGGATTTACTGAATATTGGCACTGGAGTGGGAGGAGTAGATGACGTGCCCGAAGTCTGAATAGTATATACATTGTTTTGTTAAAGCAGCACACCGATAGATAATTCTAATTCTGAAAAAAAAAGAATTTGTAAGAGCTGAAAACTCAACGGGTCTTTGTGTAAAAAATTACACAGTAAAGGTCATTAAGCCATTTTTTGAACAAGAACTGTAAAATGTAAGAAACAGTTTGTTAATATCGACACAATTCTTAAAGTCTTTTTATAATCCATTTTTGTTGTTTAAAAAGTTTATGATTTTACATCAATTGATGTTCACCTATAATGCGTAAGCCTATCTTTTGATTTTCTTGGCGGATGAATTTATGCTAATTATAGTTCCTTAATATGATTCGTATTCAAAGTAAGTAACTTTATATCACTTTCTTAAGATTCTGCTATATAAAGAAGTGAACATGCACGTATCTTTTGACATTTCAACATTGTACTGTTTAATACCGCTCTTTCAATAAATTTTACAGCAGTCATTTATAAATATCACCAACTATGTAAAATAACAATCTTTTTAAAGACCGTTATTGTCTTTAAATGTGACACAATATGAATAATAAGAATATTACATAGAATCTTTCATAAGAAAGAGAAAAAATCACAGAAGAGAGCGGCTTTCCCCGGGTGCGCCTTGTGCCGCTGCTACTGCGCTCGACCCTATTGGGTGGCTCTCGGACCCAATCGAATCGTTGAAGAATCGCCGGGGAGAGCAGTGAATGGTGGATCATCGCTTTCCACACAGTTATTTCTCGTTCTCGTAATATTTTCAGAAAAGAAGTTCTTGGTCTTTCTGACGAATACAACATGAATCACTTGGGGTCAGTAAGGTGGCAGTTAGCTCTGTGCTTGATGGGTGTATTTACAATCGTATATTTTGCAATGTGGAAAGGCGTAAAAAGTTCTGGAAAGGTATATCTTTCACATTTTTAACTGAATATGACAAACTATCGAGAATATTTATAAATATAATTTTATTGATTTATTCTTAAAAGGAAGATCCATCGTATAGACCTTAACCCCCCTAGGACGTGTGTGCAGGTGTAATAAGTTAAAACAGTTGTTAACTTTTAGAATAGAGGATATCTGTTACTATCATTTGCCTTTAAAATAATAAACAATGACACTTTTCGTGGGAAGTTGCCAATACATGCCATATGTTTCCCTTTCCGGTGACAGTTTAAATGCATGCACAATGTCGCTTTTTAAAGGTCTGACTGAAGGAATATTTATTCATATTAAATTTAAATAAAGTTGATATGGTCAATGTTGTTTGATATTTTGCAGTTATCATTATACTTGGCTATCCACTATCCACTGTAGATCAATGGACTTCAACCTTTCTCCCGTTCTTCAATATAAAAAGCTTTAAAACAGCTTGATTTTTATACCGGAGGAATCATAACCATTTAAGTCTGGTGAATATCATGTGATATATATTATTATTAACCTCAACTATCAGGACCTCGACCTCGACTTCGGGAATTCCGAGAATAGTTTTGAACAATACTGCTTTCTGGTTTCCTTTTTTATTATGGTTCCCATTCAAAACAAAATATAACTGATTCCCGGCGTTCTTCGATAAATAACAGTGCAGGTTACCTCCTGGTACTGATTCCTGACGTTCTCCACATGTAATAGTGCAGGGAACCAAAATAACCCCCAATGAAGAGCAAGGATGTACTTCCATCAAACGTTTTCAAAATCATTTTGAAGATACTCACGTGACCGTTATGCTTGCTTTGCGAACAGCCTTTAGGGCTCGCTATAATGTTAATAAAAACAATAGAAATTCATCATTTGGATAGTCTTAAATAATATTTCTTGAAAAAAAGTTAACGTTTTGTGAGTTATTTTGATTTTTTTTTATGATAAATGATAACAATATTTTGTTTCAGAATAATTTATTATCTGTTACAAATAGATATGTCATAACGGATCATGAATCCCAAACTGACCAATAATATCTAAATAGAATTCATTTTCATGGTTTGTTGTCACGTTTATTTATGGTATTACGGGCCCTTTTATTACGGGTCACTTCATTTCAATTAAAATTACGGTGACTTATTTTATTTGTTTTATTCGTGTAAGCTGTCAGAATAAGTAAGTGTCATATTGCATTGAAATGCAGCACAGACTTTTCCAGACAGCTGTAGTATGCTAAGAACATTCACAGCAATATTTGACTCATTGGACAATGTTGACAAAACTCTGTACAATAAAAAGTGTTCTATTTTTGAAATAACTCGAAAGAAAGAAATTATATAGTTTTCAAATATTGGCTTTAGAAATGCAAGATGTGTCAAAACGAACCGATTCAATTTAATGCAAATATCATGTCAGTTAATTTTAAAGTGTGTGAGGGTCATATATGAATATTTTATGATTAATGAAAACGTGTTTTTATTTTTTGATATCAAATAAAAATTCTAAAACTATTTTTCTATCTTCTAGGCAGTATGGATAACGGCAACAATGCCATATGTTGTACTCATCATTCTGCTGGGTGTTGGTGTGTCGTTAGAGGGCGCTGGTGAGGGTATTAAATATTTCATCACTCCTACATTTGCAAGACTTGGTGATTATCAGGTAAGTAAATTCTATGAATATGATATTTATTTTTGGTCAAATACTGAAAATGGTGTTTTTGAGTCTAAACGAAATGAACCAAGAGAAAATTTGATTTTTTTTTCAGCATAAAATTTATCAAAGTTACATAAATTTAGTATGATACACAAAACCTGGGATAACACATTTGCAAACAAAAAGTGAAAACAAAGTTGTTTTTCTTTCTTTCAATAATTGTTTAGGTGGTGCATTACAAATACAAATATTATAGTGATTTAAAAGGCAAAAGAAATAATTGTATAGATGTATATTTTTTGAAATGAGAACGGCGTTTCGGGTTTTTATGTATTTATGTGATAGAATACCTTTCATTCGTCGTTATTTAATTTAGAATGACATTAAACTCCGAGAGATTCGTTTGAAAACAAAACTCCATACATACCTGTACATAATTATCTATAGCCAAACGATATCTGACTTGACTATTTCAGGTATGGGTCGACGCAGCTGCCCAAATTTTCTTTTCACTTGGACCGGGATTTGGTGTCCTTTTAGCATTATCAAGTTACAATAAGTTCACGAATAATTGCTTCAGGTAAGTCCTCGGACACAGTTGACCTATTTATGTCGTATATTCATATACAAAAATGTCATTTAATCCTGGTAAGTCCACGAACATATTTTTATAATGTGAATGCAACGTCCATTTTCTAATAGAAAAAGTCACTGTCACAACTTTCTAAAGTAATTTCTGTCAAACTTTCACACAAATAATTTATCTGAAATCATTCTAGCCAACCCCTCAAATTCGGACAATCATGCAAGCCGACGGCTTTTTGCACTAATGTTTTCTGTACTCGTATGTTCAAATCATTATTTCAATGTATCTTGTGTGTTTTGGATTAGCATTGCTAAACCGACAAAAACGAAACATATAAAATGAATAATGTATTCAAATCAGAAGGAAAAATATGCAAAAAGGAAAAGAAACGATACGTAAAAAGAAACAAATTGACATTGCTTTTTCAGGGACGCATTGATTACAAGCGGTATAAATTGTGGGACAAGTTTTCTTGCCGGATTTGCAGTGTTTGCTGTTTTAGGTCACATGGCACATGTACAAAACACAGACATAGAATATGTTGCACGAGAAGGTATGCAAATAAACACATAAGTGTCTATGTTCGCAGTCTTTGTGCACATGGCTCATTGTGCATATTGTGCGAAACACTGACATCAAATATAAACCAACAATCTCTCTTCTTATTACATCGAATTTTTACAAAGCAAAACATGTGCGTGCTTGTAAATAACCATATACACATGCCTTAAACTAATTTGGTCAATACAAAACGAAACTATTAATTTTCATTGGTACATGTATATCATATGTAAATTCCATAATTCTTTTTTTTTCAATGAGCATTCGTACTGTTCATCTGAGTTTAGACATGTAATACGTACTGGAGATATGTGATACAGGCATATATACTCGTAGTAACTTGAAAACATTATACCTCTCCGAGTTGACAGAAGTAATAAGTAATCAGAAAGACAAAGTCAGTATCTAGGGCTATGTGAACGGTACTAAAGAAGATGAAAAGAAGTTTAAATTGTTGAACGTCAGAGGGTGAGGGCCTAAAAAAATTCCCTGTAAATGACTTATGCGTATTCCTGAATTGCTCCCAACCAATGATATTTATCAATGCCATGGTTTTTACAATGTCCGGGATTTGTGATGTTTGGTAAAATTATGGTTCTTTGTAAATATTAAAAAGTATTCAATAATATATTTTGTTATATTCAATATCGGCGGAAAATCTGCTATTGTGACAATTCCTGTTATTTCATTTTTTATAGATGTCGGTCTCATATTCATTGTATATCCAGAAGCAATATCCAATCTAAAAGGATCAAGCGTCTGGGCCGTGATCTTCTTTTTCATGTTGATCACTCTAGGTTTGGATACCACGGTAAGCTCTTGATATAAGACATGTCGTGTACGGTAGACAGCCATCCTTTTTAACACTGGTATGTTTGTTAGTTGGTTTGAAGCAAAAGATTTTTTTCTCAAAATTATTCTTATAATAATGAAAAGTGTATTTTGCAATTTTAATTCTTGGCATGAGGTCAAACGACTATCCATTTACACATGCTTGTTCGATTCGAGTACCTAGTGTTGTACCTGCACAGTAAAAGAATTGCGTGCTTAACATAACGTCTTGGAATCTAAATGGTGTCTTATATTAATTTTTCAATTTTGCAGAGTTGGACATCCGAATAGGTTATTAGTTTGTCCATTTTCTCTAATACAAATATTTGACAAACAGGTGCTATCTACGGGAAAATGGAATCCACTTGCTAGGAAACAATGTCAGTATTAAATATTCCTCAAGTAACAGGATATGTCCTCATTAGAAAAAAACAACATAAATTAACAAAAACCAGTGTAAGCTTTCGATAAAGCGTCTTGTCCTTTAAAATAAATTCATTAAGGAAAAAGTACACGCAAAGTTAAACGAATAATTTGCATAAAGGTTTGCATGTACATAATATGTAGAGAAATTTTATCTGGGAAAGCGGATAAGACTCTCTTGCGAGCTGTATTAGAGACTTTCATGTGTTTTTTCAGCATTTTGAATTGTACCTATTTCCATTTACGACAATTCCATATTAACAGTTTGAGCTGTATTTGTTGTTAATGTTATTCTTGTTTGATTCACAGTTTGGTGGGCTAGAAGCTATAGCAACTGGTATTCTTGATGAATGGCCTTTCCTCCGAAAACGTCGAGAGCTCTTTATTCTAGGTCTTATGGCCTACTGTTTCCTGGGCAGTTTGGCAACTACCACATACGTAAGACTTACACCCATCGTGTTTGACGATAGTTTATAAAGATTTTTTTATATCTTACACCTTTATCTATTTTAGGAAAAATAATAACTCTCATAACAGCGTTGGACTATCTCATTTCTTCACATCTCCAACTTTGACTTTAAGCAAAGTCACACAATTTGTAATGATGCTTTATTGCGTCACAAAGAAAAGAAAAAAACGGAAATAATCTTTGTTCGTTAGATAAGACTTGCGACAACGAAAATAAACGGAGTTATTATGGAATTTAAAAACATACTATTTAAAAAAACTTATGTTGAAATAAGCTTTCCTTTTAATTTGTACTAACAAGGTTTTCATGATATTAATCATATTATACTATGCTAGCCTTTTTTATTATAAATAATTATGGTCTTATTTCAATACGAAACGACGTAGAAAATGTATATATATATATTATAATAACTGGACTAAATAAGTTGTATTTTAGACAACACGCACTGTTGTTTTTTATAGCGACCATATATGTTTAATAGTATTAAACTACTCATTTAATATATGTGCTAAAATTGCATTTTGTATATCTTATTAAATATTTATGTGTTATTTTGTGAACATTTAGGGTGGTATATATTTGGTGCAGTTACTGGACACATATGGCGCTCCGATTGCTTTATTGTTCATAGTCTGTTTAGAGGCTATTGCTGTCACGTGGATATACGGTAATAAAATAACTTATGACCTAGCCTCAGGGTAATACAACTTTTTTTCTGAGATCTGTTTCAAATCTAGGGATTTTCATTGGTCAGTGTACATTCTGTGGCAGTTTCTGACCAATCAAATACCTGAGATTTGAGTTTGAGCTTGGAGAATTTCTTCATAACCTTGAAGCCTGATGAAGTTGTTAAATAGACTTGCTGAGCTATAAATCAGAAAATCCCATTATAATTATAGGAGTTCAATGATACAATTAAAAATTTGATTGCACGAACGCACAGGCCTGCCTACTTCTATCCTGGTTGGAAGCTAATCAATCTTGTCTTGAATTCACCAGGTTAATGGCTTATAAATAATTATTAGTAAAATAAGATGTTAAACTGCTAAAACTTAAACGAAGCGTTTTTAAGTAGGTAAGAATATCTGCATGAATAGGATACTTCAGGAATTCTTTATTTATGTTTTCATATTCCAGACTATGACCATGATAGCATTTTACCGTGGGTCATTTCAAAACGTTACAGCAAAGTTTTAAATCTAATCTTTAAATAAACTAGATATGTATCACAAAAGAGAAAACACCAGAATATTTTAGCGGTCCTACAAAAACCAACATAATAGTGCCAGCTCTGGTGGTTACTATACTTTTTGTAGGACCGCTTACGTCATTCTTAATACTCGTATTATGCATGTATAGTATTTAAATGCTCAATAAAACTGATATAATTGAAGAAGGAACACATTTATCAAAGGTATAATATAATTATAAATAATACGCTACGACATCTTCCAAACATGTCACTTATTGTATTTCAATTTCGTTTCCAGGGGCAACGCGTTTCAGCCACGATATTGAGGCTATGCTGGGGCCACAATCTGACCACTACTGGAGGTTCTGGAAGACATGTTGGATGTTCATTGCTCCAACAATTTTATTTGTATGGATCTTATTGACTTGATTTGCTCAACATGTTATTCTTCTATAGAATGAAATTATACATTCATAATATGGTCGAAAATAAATTTAGTTTGAGATTTCTTTTTCTCACAACTGACCATACAGAATTACATCATCAAAACAAACTTGACATTACAGATTATGATACAAATTGTGATGATGATGATGATGGTAATAATAATGATGATGTATGATGATGATAATAATGATGATGATGATAATGATGATGATAATTATGATGATGATGATGATAATGGAGAAGATAATGATGATAAAGATAATGCAGAATATAATGATGATGATAATGATGATGATGATGATGATGTATGATGATGATAACTATGATAATGATGATGAGTTTGTTGATGATTATAACACTGATGATGATGATGATGATGATGATGATAATGATGATGATGATAATGAATGATGTTTGATGTTTGATGATGATGATGATGATGATGAAACTGTTTTATTTCAGGTACTGTTCATCTTGTCTCTAGTTATGGCTCCTGTTCCACAATATAGCAGTTACGTGTACCCTGAGTGGTCGATCGCAATAGGCTGGATGATGGTGGTGTCTTCTCTATTGTGTATACCAGCATACGCTATATACAAGTTCCTGATAACGCCTGGATCCGTCGTTGAAGTAAGTACATGTACACTATAAAATAAGCCGAAATAAATCTCTACAAAATGTAAAAAAATATGCTTTATAGATACGTTTATTTTATAATTCAATAATAATTAGTCTTTGTTAATAAGAAATATAATCTCTAACAAAATTATATTGTAAATTGAAAAGGACACCAATGAAATCTAAGGTCACACAATTAGGGGAAAATGTATATTTTGTTTGCGGACTCGAGTTGATTGACCCTTTTAATGAATGATAATTTTTAGTGCAGTCTGTCTTATCGCTCTTGGTGAATTGTTAAAAACTTAAATTTAACAATTATCCACCTGAAAAAAAATGTAATAAATTATCATTATTGCTTCCAAAAGAATAAAAAAGTAACAGAAAAGATCGATTTAATCATATATGTTACTATTTACATCGATTACGTTCAACGGGGAGTGGTGGCCTAGCGATTTAGGTATCTGCCTCTCAATCCAGAGAGAATCACGGGTTCGAGCACTACTCAGGCCACGACTATGTTTCTTCGTATGATACCAGTGCAGGTTAATTCAAGGTAGCGGACTCGAAAACTACTTGTGATTAATATAAGTTGCAAGAACTTGTTTCGCAATTAAGCTTTTACTAAATCAAGTTTTATACTAAACTAAACTGTTATGTTTTTTTCATTTTTAGAGAATAAGGACGATAATGATACCAGAAGAATCACCCACACATATTGAAGAGTTGCGTGTCTTTGTATGAGGGCATCATACATTAAGAAAGTAACACTCAGCACATACATTTACGACGTAATAAAAACATCAGATATTCAATTTAAAGAACAACAACAACAATCTATGTAACATAGATTATAGTTTTAATTTTATTACTACAACAATGTGGGATATTAGCCGTTTGTGAATATACAAAGCATGTACGTATGAACGTAATTTGTTAAAAGTAAATATTCATCTTAGAGTTACTGATATAATTAGGAATATCGCAATAACAACAAAACAAAACATTTTTTGTGTGTAAAATTTTGTTATGAAATAGGTCATGTACGAATTTGTGCTAAGTATTTGTTACTGACTTAATATTTTGTTAAGATATTCCGATCGACGTTTTCGTAAAGGGGAGACTATACATCATTTTCAACGTTGGTTTTCTTAAGCTGTATTCTCTCCCCTGTTTTGTTCTTTGGTTCTTAGAAGGCGCCGCATGACATTGTATATGTATCTTAACATAAAATCATAACCCAATAATGTAAAGTACAATAAGAAATGTTACTATTTCAATTTATTGATTTTTGGGAGTTTGAAGCAATAATTTTAAAATTATTATAAAGTTCATATGTGTGTAACATCTAGGACTTTCAATAGAGATTATAAGAAACAGGGTTATTTGAAACAATAAATTATATGAGCCGAGATAATGTGAAACAAGATAATCTGAAACAAGAATAATTTTTATGTGAACCGAGATAATGATAGTGATGCGATGGCCTTTACATTGTTACAAATATTAATTTTTGTAGTGTGTTGAATTTGAGAGCCAAAACGTTTAAGACATTGGCTTAGATTCCAAGCGAGTTTAGACGGTGTACATTGCCCGAAAACGCATATGTTGATTAACACATATGAGTTTTTTTTGTGTGTGTTTTAAGACATTATATATTGTTTTGCATACCATACAATTAATTATAAATGCGTTATGAAATGTTGGCCGGATATTTGCTATTGTCATTTACCAGTTTGGCAATGTGTTCTTGCAGGTGTAAAACATCTACATTTTATTCTAAAATAATAATATTGATAGATGTGATAAATTCATAACCGGATATTACTAGAATCCTTCTTAGTAATATATTTGTCCCGATTAAAAGCCATACGTTTTTAGCAGAATATATTTAATGAAAGCGATTTTTTTTAAATATTTACGATTTACATTTTTGCACTAAATGTTTTTCCTTTGAACGTAACTGTTTCTCACATTTTTACATCTACTTCGAAAAAGTCAACGGTTCGAATTATAAAGCCTACGTAATGGTTTCGGGCAGTTAGTGATAAACAAAACGAGTTGATATGTATTGGAAAAGTTTTTTATTTCTCACATATTCTTTGCTTTTTGTCTCTAGGACAATTGGCTGTACTTATTTTAAAGTTTTTTGTCTATTTGAAAGGGTTTTGTTACCTTTATCTTATGTTTTTGTTTAGGAAAGCAATCTGTTAAGATATTAAATAGTCGTTTATTGTTTGGAAAGCAATTTGTTAAGGTATTAAATAGTTGTTTATTGTTATGTCGGTGACTTATATGCTATGTTTATATATCATGTATATATGTACATTATAGAATGTTGTTTATTTAAAACGAGAGTAGATATCGTGTAGCAATGCATTTAGGTAGATACATCTGCTAGGAAATGTATATATATATTTGCGTATATTAGATATATTTACACAATCTCTCACGTAACAGTATAGTTCCTATTTTTGTCTTGTTTTGCAATTCAAGACAGAAATTGGACGTACAATTTATGACTAGAATTAGTAGCTCATTGAAAGACATTATATCTTAAAGCGGCCTTCAGCTTTTCAAAATATTAAATATGTTATTTTAAGATAAATCGTTTCATATAATTGACAAACAAAATCATTACGGTGGAAAATAAAATTTGCCGTCAATAAGATACATAAACAATAAGGAAACTCGCCGATACCACTAATCTACCTGTCCGCTCTCTAAATGTACATTAATAAAGCGGACAATTCGTTACCCGATCTTCTAATTGTAGAAACAAACGTCATTATTACCTGATACCTTATATAAAAGTGATTTGGTATTTTTTACTGTTTTCTAAAATTCTAAAACGTCCACATTCGCAAACTGATGACCGGTCAATAGTTTCGACTGTTTCCCTCGTGTGCTCTGACGTCTTGACGTCATAGAGGATTCCCACTTGAAGCGTCCATCGATCTTGATCATAAACCAGACGTAACGTGACATAGAAGTTTAATTATAAACATATGTGAAAAACTATTTTTTCTTCTTTTTTTTCTTCTGCTAGTACTATTTAAACAGTAGTTGATCAGGTAATAAAACAGTTATTTCATGCGTGATTTTGGGAACAGTCAGCCTACGGCCTTGGGCAACAGTTTAAAACACTTGGACAACAGTTTGACTGTCCCAAATCACATATGAAATAACTGTAAACTGTTGCGCTATAAATAGCTCTCAGGACGCTGTTTTGAAGAAGGCTTAACAGTGATATGATGCACTTTTCCAAGATAAATTTACCGACATACTTTGTTTGAAACAACATATAATTGTGTGTTGCTTTTTTTCAAACTGAAGTCCGCTTTAACATATATGTTATTCGGTTCGGAATTTATTATTCTGATACATGCACTTTCCATTACTAAAAAAACAGAAACTCAATATTTAAGAAAGTATTTCCTTTTCAAAGCCTTTGTAATCCACGACTAAATAATAATTTTTTTTTAATTACATTGAATTTGTTTTTGTTTTTTTGTTTTTTTATCAACATATTATTTTTTATTTGAATTTTTACTTCTTTAAACATCTATAGATTAAAGATAACAGAAAAGGCTAAAGAAAACTTATTTGTTTAACAGTGTTTTCTATGGAGCCCCGTGATGTCCCGCGAATAAAATGTGGAGAATGACACTTTAGGAGCTCCGTAGTTTCCTTTTGCATGTTTCTGCATAAATTGAATTGTTAAAATTGTTGTTTTGCAAATGCATTAAAGGTAATTTTAGGTGATGGAATTTTCGAAGCTTCGGTCAAAGGCTTCGTTCATTGTTGATTTAAGTTTATACATACCAAAAGGAAATATTTAACATACAGTAGTTAAATATCCTGGCAGACGACACTAACGAACCGGCTGACCTGACCTTTTTTACTGGTGGCATTTTGGCATTAGCGATTTTAGCTGTATAAATTGTTGAAAAAATAAAAACTTTATAACACAGAACGGAAATATTATTAACAAGTGACTTACCATGTACATTTGGATTCACATAAGTGGCTTGTTTGTTTACGTATGATAATAATTATAATAATAATAATAAATTATTATAATGGTAATAATAATTATTACAATAATAATAATAATAATGATAAGCTCTTTCATAACAGTGTAGCCATATGGGTTTAATTGACAGAGTTTCTGAACACAATGTGACATATTGTTTTACTCTAAAAAAATTGCACTATAATAGTGATAATGTGTTTGTGAAACCCATCAGCATAATTTTATAAGTCGTGCACGAGATTTACGTGCATAACAATGATTTGCGTTGATATCTCGGTTAATCTGCACAATGTTGTTTGTGTGTTTAACACTGTCTATACCTGAATATAATCAATGCTTATTTCTAATTAGTACTAACTGGCATTAAATGACATTTTAAATAATGTAGTATGCCATTATTATGTCTCTAATCTAAAATGATTCAAACATGTTAAAATATTCACAAAAATATATTAATTGATATTTATTTCATAGTATAATATTTTTATTTGAAAAGGCACAGAAATTTTTTGATTTGACAGTAAGTAGGGGTTTGTACTCAAATTATCTGTGGATGGACCGTAATGAAACATTGATTACAAGCATAAGCAATAGTTATTACGTTTTCGTGCAAAATGTGACAGCAAGATATCTTTTATAATGTTCCATTTCTTTATTTCATTAAAGACAAAAACTTGTGGTATGCTTTTTGCAAAAGGTCGTTTGTATCTAAAGAATGCATTTAATATAGTATTACGAGATATAATATGGTAATTATATGATAGAAATACATTATTTACGCCAAATGTAAACATAAAAATGTTAAAGCACCATTTGCACAAATAATATTTCCATTATATACCTCATTTTGCGGTTTGTAAATGGTTAATATTAACTTTATCTCACAAAAGGCTTTAAAACAGTTTTTGTTCGAGCATTTTATATTATCAACTGATGATTAAAGTAAATATATGTAAAATAGTCCCTTAACAGCTTCTAATATACGACATGCATGCGTTCCGGTGTTAGTTGTAAGCAAATATTTAATGGCTGTAAATGTAGTTGAGTAATGTCGAATAATATACCAAGAGAAATACATACGAGGACATTCCAATGTATTGTTATATACACTGTACATATACTCCTATAATTGCTTGTTGCCTGGGTAACGAAATTTAAATTTGTCATGTCCATGTGATTATGCCTTTTAGAAATTCAATTTTATAAGTAAATGCTTATCAGATTTTTTCTTTCTCTTGGAAACAACTTTTCTCTCGTAAATTTTTTTTTAGCACCTGAGCTGGGAAAAATGTAACAGTTTTAAAGAATTATGTAGTTCCCTTTCCAAACTCCGCACACGCTTTTTAGAAGTTATTTCGAGTTTTGAACAATGCTACTGCGCTGGACCTCAAAGTAAATGCAATAAGCAAAGCAGTTATTTAAACAAATACACTGTGAAAGTTCCTGCACAGCCTATGACAATTACTATACTACATGGTAGGCTCACTTTGAAATAAACAGTTTTGTTTTGATACAGGTCTTTACAGAAACAGTTGCCAGCCCACAGTCTCAACTTAGCCTACACGGTCTTTGTCGTTACATGAACACATAATCATTAAAAACAAGTGATTTCGGTTGCTATAGAATAAATATTCTCGCCACAAATCGATCCAGAAGCGTCAAAAAGATGAGATTGTGATAATTTTGTTTTTCATTTATTTTTATAAAATGCAGAATATATTACTCTTTCAATACTATAAAAGACTAAAATCTGAAATTTTGAAAAATGTATTTCAAACAAAAAAGTAAATGAAATTAGAAATCTTTAAAATATAAATCAGTTGAATAATGAGGTAATAAATACTTAATAATGGTATCAAACGTTTTGTAATTCGGACTTCTTTTTTTTTCATTGCTGTGTGCAGAACGGACGTGAAATTCTTCAAGCACAGCCAATCCATATATCCATATATCCCGCTTAAATATATGCTCACAATTACATATATATCAAATCATGTAAATATATCTGTAATCAAAGTG